CAGGTAACTGGGGAGGCTGAGCCACTGGACCCTATAGGATACCTAGCACACAAAACCACTCCTACCACACAGGGAAGCATAAAAATGCGGAGACAAAGAAACAGATCACAAATGACAGAAATGGAGGAAAGCAAACTACTGGATATAGAGTTCAAAACCACGTTTATAAGGTTTTTCAAGAATTTTCTGGAAACCGCCGATAAATTTAGTGAGACCCTGGAGGATATGAAAAAAGACCAACTAGAAATTAAGCATACACTGACTGAAATAAAGAATATTATACAGAGATCCAACAGCAGACAAGAGGATCCCAAGAATCAAGTCAAGATTGAAATACGAAGAAACAAAAAATACCCAACCGAAAAAGCAAAAAGCAAAAAGAATCCAAAAATATGAAGATAGTGTAAGGAGCCTTCTGGGACAACTTCAAGTGTACCAGCATCAGAATTATAGGGGTGCCAGAAGAAGAGAGAGGGCAAGATATTGAAAACCTATTTGAAGAAATAACGACAGAAAACTTCCCCTACCTGGTGAAAGAAATAGACTTACAAGTCCAGGAAGCGCAGAGAACCCCAAACAAAAGAAATCCAAAGAGCACCACACCAAGACACATCATAATTAAAATGCCAAGAGCAAAAGACAAAGAGAGAATCTTAAAAGCAGCAAGAGAAAAAAAGTCAGTTACCTACAAGGGAGTACCCATACGACTGTCAGCTGATTTCTCAACAGAAACCATGCAGGCCAGAAGAGAGTGGCAAGAAATATTCAAAGTGATGAATAGCAAGAACCTACAACCAAGATTACTTTATCCAACAAAGCTATCATTCAGAATTGAAGGTCAGATAAAGAGCTTCACAGATAAGCAAAAGCTAAAGGAGTTCATCACCACCAAACCAGCATTATATGAAATGCTGAAAGGTATTCTTTAAGAAGAGGAAGAAGAAAAAGGAACTCTTACCATTTGCCACAACATGGATGGAACTAGAGAGCATTATGCTAAGTGAAATAAGCCAGTCAGAGAAGGATAAATACTACATGATCTCACTCATTTGTGGAATATAATGAACAACATAAACTGATGAACAAGGACTGATCCAGAGACGGAGAGGCATTGATTAGACTGTCGGGCCTTGGAGGGAAGGTAGGGGAGGGTGGGGGTAAGGGGGAAAGATCAACCAAAGGACTTACATGCAAGCATATAGGTCTAACCAATGGACATGGACAACAGGGGGTGAGGGCATGAGCGGGGGGGGGGGGGGGGGAGGTAGGGAGTAACGTGGGGGGATAAGGACACATATGTAATATGTAATATGTTAGTCATAAAAATATATTTAAAAAAAAGAAAAGGTGGTGAAGCCCTAACCGGTTTGGCTCAGTGGATAGAGCATCAGCCTGCAGAGTGAAGGATCCCAGGTTCGATTCTAATCAAGGGCATGTAGTTGCTGGCACATCCCCAGTAGGGGGTGTGCAGAAGGCAGCTGATCAATGTTTCTCTCTCATGGATGTTTCTAACTCTCTATCCCTCTCCCTTCCTCTCTGTAAAAAAATCAATAAAATAAATTTTTTTAAAAAAAGAAAAGGTGAAGACTATGCTGCGTTATTGGTGCATCTCTAAAAATGTAGTTTCATCTCCATCTCTCTCCTAGCATTTGTCTTCTAGCTTCTGCTGTAGTTAAGTATCAATGACCTGAATGTGAAACCCTCTCCCCTCACTTTTTTTTGTCCTCCAACCTCAGAAGAAATGACCCAAGGTCACACCTGAGGTGACTACTGAAGCGGTCAGAGTGGAAACGTCACGGGTGGCATGTGGGTGAGGCAGAGGCTAGGACGTCCATGGTGACTGTGCATTTGACCTCCGTGTCTGTGACTGACTTACAGAACCACCAGGATGCCCACACTGCCCACTGCTCTACCCACTGGGGACCTCAGCCTGTTGGGGAAGCTGTTTGTTCCAAATCCCATGGCACTCATGTGTCCCCAACTACACACGCTGCCACTTCCAAGCTCTCCACCCCTGGGCAGAAGACAAACGTGAGCACAGAACTGAGAAGCCTACAGAACCAGCTGGTGTGAGCCGATGAAACCATGAGGCTGAAGTGCGAGACCTCCAGCCAGCCGCATGCCCCAGCCGAAGCCTCCACCTTGTCAGGGCACGGTGTCCCCTTCACAGTGCTGGGCAAGTGGCCCTCCAGCTGCAGGACCAGATGAAAGCATTGCCATCACCAAGCCCTGAAAACAAAAGGTTTGTTTGCAATGATGATTAAAACTTTTTTAGAGGCATTTTGGTCATTCTCGAAATCAAAGCATAACCTTTATTTTCAATAGAACTGCGCAGAAGAGATGGTTTGTTAATCCACCAGGAAAGAGTCTCTAACCACAGACAGCACCAAAATATATATTTGAAAAATTAAAAAACACACAGCCCACCCATCACACACACGTGTCCCCCAAAGCCACACAACCCAGACCGAAGGGAAAACAAACCAAACTCGATGCCCTCACACACAAGAAGTCTTTGAGTTAGGGTTTACAAGTTTATATAGTCTCTGTCATGAAAAAACAAACAAAGGCCAGGTGAAAGGGCAACTTGTACGCGGAGACAGGAGAATGAAGAACGCGTGTCATCTGCCCACAAGCTCTCAGAAAGCAGGACAATGACCAGTGCTTCCCGTAGACTCTGGGGGGCCTGGAGGGTCACTGGTGTCCATAACAGGACAGTGCAGTGGCCAGGGAACCCTTCAGGAGCAGGACACCTCAAGCGCCAGGGGCCACTGCCACTACCTTCAGGATGTGCCGCATGCGGTCGGCACCAGGCTTCCGAAGACAAGGTGTCATTCACTGCAAGCTTTCCAGCGCTCAAAAGGGCCATTATTCCTTTAAAAAAGGTGCTGGGCTCCCCAAAAGTAAAGGGGGGATAAGAGTTTCTACTGCAGTAAAAATCTCCCAGTCAAGCCGGACATTCCAGCGAGTCCGTGTGATGACACACGGGGTCCCCACACAGGTCTACTTGGGCTCCTCGATGACGCCTTTGCTGAGATCTGTCATTTTGGGGTACTTTACTTTCTTCTGGTCCAGCTCATTCTGAGCCCAAAGGAGCAATTTCAGTAACTTGGCCAGTTTGGGTGTTGACTCCCGGTTCTCATAATCCAGGACAGCCTGGTTCACTTCGCTCCACACCTGGAAAAGACACGTCCAATCAGCCAGCCACACGCAGGCAGCCAGAGAGTGTGTTACAGCACACATTTTATCCATCTGCAGAGGCCTATAACCACTGACACACAGGAGGCCCTCTGCATGACACACACACACATTCCTGCCCACAGGGAGCTCACAGTCCAGTTGGCAAATGTCACACCGGGCCTAGATGGCAGTTCAGTGCCATGAGCCGGCCTGGAGGGAACTGCAAAAGAGGAAGGAGCAGGCAGGGGTGACAAGCTCCATCCTCAAAACCTCAGGGAGCTTGCTGTGGCCTGAAGGACAGTGGAGGGGCCATGGGAGGACAGGCAGCTGTACTTGGGGCAACGACTGACGAAATGTTGGCTGGAATACAGGACCAGCAGTGAGGACAGGAAGCTTCAGAAACAAGTCTGGGATTTTAAATAAAAAATACTTAGGACCCCTATTTGTAAGAGGCTCCAAATACACAGGAGGACGGCTAAGATAAATGAGAAAAATCGGCAGAGCTTGGATACAGCTGACCCTTGACCACCACCATACATGGATTTTTCGATAAGCACAGTTGGCCCTCCATACCCAAAGGTGGGTTGTGCCTCCACTATTGGGATCCGTTGGAGGTGAGGGGCAGCTGCATGCCCTATCACACCATTTTATACAAGGGACTTGAGCCTCCAGAGATTCTGGTACCCACTGGGGGTGTGTGTCCTGAAACTAACCCTGCCGTGGTTATGGAGGAACGACTGTAGTTAGGTTCCATAGGAGTCAAAGTCATACATGTGCCCAGAAACCCCACATTGTTCAGGGTTGCTGTGCTGCTGGGTAAGGTCACAGCACGCTGCGCCTAGCTCCACACGATGAAGAACAGAACACCAGGAAGAACTGGTGCTATCACACCAGTGCCACACGCCCAGCATGATGTGTCCCTCACTCAGTCACCCCATGTGGGTTCTATACCTTCTGCCTCTGCATCATATTCAGAAGATCTCCAAAGGGCGAGTCCTCGGGATTATCGAAGGCCAGCAGGGCCAGCGTGCGCTCCATCTCTGTCAGGCACTCCCTGCTCTCCTCCCCCTGCTCCGCCAGCTGCGTCTGCGCGAACTCCAGCGCCGCCTCGGTCTCCCGCTGGCGGATCAGCTCGATCAGGTGCTGTTGCTAGTCAGGGGCCAAGGCGCACAGACTTACACACTGCACCTGGGCCAGCAGCCCCTAGCGGCACCAGGCTACTCTCTAGTCAAAAGGACCGCTTAAAGGACACTTTTCTAGCACCTGAGTTATTAAATTTGCATTTTAAAATCAAGAAACCACTTCTGAAATACATAACACAACAGCTAACTCAAACCCCTTCCCCACGTAAATTAAACGATGTTCTATTAACACAGATTCACCCGACACTTCTGAATCATCACAGGTCACCTATCAGGGGTCCACAGAGCAGACAACTTTCAACCAAAACTCACCTGCAGGTGGAAGTAAAGGTAGCGGTTGGTGTCCAGCAGTTCTGGGTGGAGGCTGTTGATCAAGGCGATTGCCTCCTGAATCTGCCCCTTTAGGATCATCTCACGGATTTTGATCCGCTCATCAAGGGTTTCTAGATCCACACTAGGCTCAATCCCGGACTCCATTCGAAACTTCTCTGCAGCTTCCTTAAAGCCCTCTGTAAATGAAAACTGGCCTCACTGCTCAGAAAGTCAGCAAGACATTAAACACAAAGCCTCTTCATCGCTGTCTGCCCCATCGCCTCGAGTAAATCACCCCCACATGAACCGTACTTCCTCAGGGACTGGGTGTTAGTATCTTTGTGAATTCCTGGGTAGGCCTTGATATACAGAAAGTGAAGCCAGACATATTGGCGTGGGCTCCCTGAAGGAGGCTGCAACCCAGATCCAGTTGCAGAGCAGCTGCAGGTCTGTTCCAGGTGAGGCAATAACTCACAGCCTCAAGGACCCGGCCCCTCCCTCCTCTCCACTGAGTCCACAGCCCCCACTCTGAAGCAGACGGTTTGCCCTTCTCTATATACACACACAGCCACAAGCTCACGTTTCCTCCTCACCTGTCAAAAAGTCTCAGCAGAGGCCAGTGGGGAAGGGGCACTCAGAACTACCAGGAAGGAGACTCCTCCCTTGTGGAAACGTCTGGGCTCCCCACCAATGCAAAACCCCCTTTCCTTTCCACTATCACAGAGGACGGCATGTCAGCTACAGACCACTTGCTTCCCTCATGGTCTGCCCTCCCTGTCTCCTTTGAGTTGAGCACCTTCTAGAAACAGTGCAATATAATTTACCAGACTGGCCAGGGGAGATCACTCAGGCTTCAAATGTATTTTAGAACATTCTTAATGATCTTGATTAACTGCAAAAATATCAAAAGCCAAAAAAATTGATTTTTGCCTCAGGTACTATTATTTCAGAGACAGGAATAATGACCTCCTAGCCCAGAGAGGACATCTTTAACGTGATAATATACAAATCTGGTATGCTCACACTGGGTTTTATAATGCCAGCACAAACCTAACTGCACACAGAACTTCAGTAGTAAACTCTGAGTGTGTACACAAAAGGGAGCATCTGTAGCATCCTGACTGCAGGCTGTTACCTGTGACTAGGTAGTTCATGATGAGGCGATTCATGTCTGCTCGCTGCACGTGTAAGTTGTTGAGCTTTTCCATCCACTCATCTTTTGTGATTTCATCAGGTTTTTCTGTATAACTCATTCTGCTTTATTTCTACAGGGGAAAAACATTTTAGGAATTGGTGAAGAATTCTCCAACAATTGTGATCGCTTCAGAAATAACACAGTGATATAGTAAGAAGCAATAGAGAGCGGGAAGATACTTTAACTCTGGAGAACAGCAATGCAAAGGGCCTCTGACCCCAGCACAGCGTTAGGGACCAGGAAGAAGACTTGGTGTTCAGAAGGCCGCTTTCATGAATGCAAGAAAGAGCCAGGGATCAAAGAACCAAGAGGTCATCTGAGGTGGGACTGAGCGAGCCTGAGGAGGGAGTTTAGATAGCGTCTCTCCGAAGTGCAAAGGGCAGCTGCCAGAGGTATGAGCCAAAGCATTACATATTACATCCACACTCAAGAGGAACTGGCAATCGACCACCAGACCAACAAAAACTAAGAAGTGTCACCACCAGCATCACAAAGACCCAGCGTTGTCCCGAGCTCTCCTTGCCGCCAGAGCAGCGGCAGCTATGAAAAATGTGTCAGCCCTCATGAGGCCAAACACAAGTGCTCCTACAGCCCCAAGACTACGCCCGCCACACCAGACTCGAAAACTCACCACCCTCACCAGACATGCAAGCCTGTCCACAGAAACACTGCTCCAGATGGCAGGAACACAGAAGCCATGCGCCACACGTCCAGCCAACAGCAGCATGGACCAGCAACTGTGTTCCCAGGACCACAGCCCCAGGCTCCAAACCCTTGGGCGGGTGTGTGAGGATCCAGAACTTTTCAGACCACACAAAACCTACGTGACAGTCTACACCAGGGGTCCTCAAACTTTTTAAATGGGGCCAGTTCACTGTCCCTCAGACCGTTGGAGGGCCGGACGATAGTTTAAAAAAAAAAAAACTATGAACAAATTCCTATGCACACTGCACATATCTTATTTTGAAGTAAAAAAACAAAACGGGAACAAATACAATATTTGTATTTGCACGTGGCCCGCGGGCCGTAGTTTGAGGACCCCTGGTCTACACTATATGACATGGTGCCCTCTTGGGTTTGGGGCAGCACCCCATTATCACACATCATCTCTTCTGTGCAACGGGTGAGTATTAGTGCTGAGGGGAATATAGGCCATTCAACAGCCTCCACCTCAAAGAGATTAAAAACAAAAGCAAGCACTTGGTTTTCAGAGCTATTTGGATTTAGTTTGCTGAGACGGGATTGTGAGCGAGGGCTCACATGGCAGAAGTTACCAAAGGGGTTGAAATGAATGAAGACAGCTACGTGGACTGCTCTTAGGAACGAGCTGATGAATATAGCAAAGTGCAGCAGAGGCCCACGTGTGGCAGACAGTTTAGTAAAGAACAAAAGCAAGGCAAACTGCATAACATGTGCTTTAGCAGTAAACACACATGAAATGGGAAATTGAGGAGGTGCCACCAAGAAGGAGGGGTGGACAGGTGCCGGCCCTGGGAGAACCACCTGGGCTTCTGAAGTGGGGGTGCCACCACAGTCCACTTCCTTTTGATTTCTCGTCACTGACATACCCATTAGGAACACTGCTTTATAGACAGCAAAGTACATGCTCAATGCTTCAATACATTTTTAAAAATTTTAAGATAGCCAATGTGGAGTGGTGAGAGTTGAGCAGAAAGACCACTAAGGAGCCACCCAAACAAGAGGGACCAGGGGCAGATGTGCTGGGGACACCCGTGGGCCTTGCTGCTGGGACGACTGGAAGGCTGAAGCGAGCCCCTGAAGGATGGGCGCCACAGTGAGGAGGCGGGGCTGGGCCAGGAACAGGTTTGGGGAGCAGGGCCAGTTTGGGCTGCCGTCAGACATGCGGCTAGGCAGCTCCAGGAGGCACCTGGATTACAGGTCCTGAGCTCCGCGCTGGGAGCATTAATCAGGGAAACACTCGCCAGGAAGTAGGGACAGCAGATCACCCAGGGAGGCAGTGTGGGTATGGAAGCAGAGGGACACAAGACAAAGTCCTGGCTCGTGGGAGATCCAACTCTCGGAGAGCACCGGAGACAAACCCGAGAGACGCTGTTCTTCACGCCACCCCTCGCGGACGCGGCCCACGGCGAAACTCAGATCAAACTCTCACTCCCACTCGGGACAAAAAGACACCCGTCTCTGAGTTCTCAGGGGACAACCACACCGCCGGCACCGCTCCCGGACGGCGAGAGAGACTTCCGACAGCGACCACTTCGGAGAAGTCAGCGGCCAAACTCCAGCAGACACAACGGAACAGTCCGGCTCCGACGGGGGCACTCGCTCCCCGAGCAGCAGGCTCCGTTCTCGTCGGTTCGGTGCTGCAGGAAGCAGTTGTTATGAACATCGATCTCCTGGCAAAGACGCCAGTGCCGTGTCTCAGTATTCTGCTTCCGAACGCCAAGCCGCCCCGGCGGTATTCTCCCGGTAGGACCACAGCGCCGGGCAGCTTCGGCCGGAGCAACCGGCAGTTTGACTTGCAAATCCAGGGGGCGACGCCGCCGCCGCCTGAGAACAAGCCGCGACCTGACACCTGCTCCGACCTGGGACCCCTGAAGACCCCGCGCAGGTCCGACCCCTCTCCAGCCCCCTTTTTGCCCCGCCGTGCTCCGCGGGGACGCTCGGCCCGACTGCCGGGGCCCACCAGGGCCATCTTACCGTGTGGATCCCGCCTCCCGCGCTGCGCAGTCTCCGCGGCCGCTCTGGGGGCCGGGCGGCGGGGAGGGGCGGCGGCGAGGGGCAGGGGGAAGCGGAGGCGGGGGCTGCGACAGAGGCGGGGCGGGAACGAGAGAGCCGACGCACCGGCAGCCGTCCCCTCAGCCTCTTCCCGCGAGATCGCGCGATCGCGAGCCGGCAGCCAATCAAGTGCTCCCGCGACAGGGCGTGGCGCGGCGGCTGCCCGGAAGCGCGGAACTACAGCTTCCGTCCTGGCGCTGAACGCTCTAATCGGCGCCCTAGCTCTACGGGTTGGCGCGAGAGTCAAAAGGCATCGTCCGCCTCTGGGCAAAATGGCCGCTGTGCAGGCGTCGCTGTGGGAGTACTTCGCGGGAGGAATGCAGCCGCTAGACTGAGTCCGAGGCGAAGGTGCCAGCATCCCTTCCGTCGTTTGTGTGAGCCCGGAGGGCACGGGACGGGGGGGGGCACAGGAGCCGGGGCCCCGCGCCGCCCCGAGTTGAGGTTCCTCCGGACCAGCCGCACAGGCCCGGGAGGAGCCGCCCGAGCGCGGCCAGCAGGAGCTCCCCGTTCAGTTGTGGGGTTCCGGCCGTGTCGGGAGCGCGCACCAGCTCGCTCCAGATGCGGCAGCGGGGTCCCAAGCGGCGCGGCGCGCGCCTGAGGGACGCGGAGGCGCACCGACACCTTGGCCGGGGCTTTCGGGTCGCAGCCCGTCTGCTCTAGAAGAATGCCGGCTCCGAGCAGGGCCCGGCTTCCCCGTCGCGGGAGAGGGAGGTGGAGCGATGTCGAGCGCTTCGGGAAGGCAGCGGAGGCAGCCCCGTCGCGCCCCTTTGAACCCGAGGGAGCCTTTTATTAGTAGGTGCTTCTGTACGCCGAGCTGAACCGAGACCCCGGGAGCATGGCGGGGGGGGGGGGGGGGCGTGATCTGGTCACCCTCCCACTGTATCTTCACCTGCATGTATTTCCTGTTATGGATGATGCCACGAAGTCCCAAGGCACTGGTTATGTCATAAGTTTCTTTGCATGGGTAAAAGCAACAGTAATATTTTAATGTGTAACTCCTGCTGATGTAACGTAGACTGTGTTCAGCATAGTGCCACCTAGAACAAATGGGGTGGCCTGGGGTCGGACGGCAGCCCTGCTGCAGACCCGCAGGGGCACAGGCGGCACCCCTGTGTGGCTCGAGTTGACTGTGTCCCTCAGACCTGTCTGGTCGAGAGTTCGAAATACACAGACTGGTTAGGAGTTGACCCTTCTTCTTTTTTCCAATTTAAGTTAATATGTATCATCAATACACACGTACATATACATAAATGCACACAATATATATGTTCACGGCCACATCTGTAAATGCTTCAAGGGTTCTTTTTGCCTGGCCCAGATGTTGTAATCGGATGTTTGGCCAGAGGCGGCGCCACTGAATGAAGAAGGGACGTTTTTCAGTTAATGTCCACGTTTTCCTTTTTTTAAAAAAAACACTTGCAAAATTTTGTTTTTGGCTTTTTTGACTTTGAAATCCTCTTACCTTCATGCTTTAAGTGCTTACTTTGTGTTGGAGGGAGAGGAATTTTGTGTCTGACAGGCTCCCAGGATTTCTCATTCCTCTGCACAACCATAAAAGGCAGTGGGCTGACCTTCCACCTTTATAGACAGAGTTGGGCGCTCTTGTTTTTCCTTGGGTTCCTTTGGAAGCAGTTGGTTCAGTTCGGAGCTCAAAAATCTCCTGCTGTGGAAGGATGATTTATGGATGTTGATTTTGTTGAAATGCAGAGTAAGAACCTTTAGGGTATGCTTTCACAATCCCTAAGAGCTCAGCCTCTGTTGTTGTTCTTGGTGTTTCCGCCCGAGATGCCTTTCTCATTTTCACCGTTTTGTTTTAGTGAGCCAGGCTAGAGCAGGAATGAATTTATACAATATTTCTATTCTGGACATATTTTTAAACACTCTCACTTTTTACTTACTTTTATTTTGGAAAAAGAACAATCTCACACTGTAGCCTGTACAATTGTAGCTGCCCCACTGCCCTTAGCCCCCTGAGGTCAGGCTCATGGCGAAGGCAGGCAGCTGCCTTGTCTGGGCGGCCACTCCTCACCCATGGAGGTTCCAGCTTTCCCTGCTGCTCCCCACCAGGTTCAGCGCAGAAGAGGTCTGTGGGCTCGGTTCTCGCTTCTCTGTTAGGCACTCCATCAGCCTGGGAGGCAAACTGCTGTGCTCTTAAACTGCTTTTCTGTTGGCGTCTGTGGACAACACTCATTTTCTTGGCTTTATTTGCTGTGTTCCTTTAGACTTAGAGATTGTTGAGATGAAACCTACCAGCAAGGGAATGCAGTTTTAATGCCTTGTACTTACTAAGATATTAATTTCTCCTGAAATTGACTTTATTTACATTGCACTGAACTCACCGGGAAACGTAGACATTTCAGAGTTACAGGACCATCCAAAAGCTATTGACCAGTGCTATTATATGTGCACAGCTCAACTTGTCTCAGTAGCAGAGCTAAGACGGGTCAGAGAGGCGAGAGGTAGAAATACTCCAGCTCTCTGGAGGGGCGGAGGAGCTGAGGACTCCCGATTTTCAGTGCCCTGACTTCTCCGCAGTCCTTGCACCTCGTTTAGATACTGGAATGACCCAGAGGCCATGTCCTGTTGCTTTCCTAATTAAGTCAGTCTCACAGTGTCTTCAGGTGAGGACACCATCCCTGATGGAGCAGCAGCTAGTCAGTGCAGAGAAGTCCCTTAGGCCGCAGTGGTCGGCAAACTGCGGCTCGGGAGCCACATGCGGCTCTTTGGCCTCTTGAGTGTGGCTCTTCCACAAAATACCGACTTCTGCGCATGGGCCACGAAGTTTCAATCGCACTGTACGTGCGCGCCCGCACATGGTATTTTGTGGAAGAGCCACACTCAAGGGGCCAAAGAGCTGCATGTGGCTCTCGAGCAGCAGTTTGCCGACCACTGCTTTAGGGTGAACACGGTACTGTCCTCCCACCCTCCTCCCTTTCCTAGTCTTTCATGGCTATTTCTTCTTTGTTTTAAAAGACAAAAGTTTGGTGCGGCTCTCATTTGCTCCTTTGAACATGTAGCACTGTCACACCCCACAGCTAACTTTCTATAGCTCTTCAATATTGGCCACAAAGTTTAACTATTACTCCTATCTTTTCCTTGCATTACTTGTTTTTTTGTTTTGTTTTTACGTAACTTACCTCTCACCCTCAGTTCTTGAGCACTCTGCTTCTGAGACAGTTGGTAGCCTGGGAACAGCACCCAGCACCTCTCCGGGTAGGGATTGGGGTGCAGTGGTGGGACTTGCCCTCCTGTGGACCGAGGTCTGGGTAGCAGTGGCAGCCCAGTGCTTTGTGCCCTTTTGCTTTGATTGTGAAACCTTACAGCTGTTAAACAAAAATTTAACTTCCACAGCTGAAGCCTTTCAAAAATAAAAGGTTTATTAGGCTATTGGTAGCAAAAAAAAAAAGGCAGCCATTTTTGGGGTGCGGAGTCTAAACCACTTGTAGCCAGGCTAAGAGGGAAAGACAGACCCGCCCATCTGTCCGGGGTTTTGCTGCCAGCTTTGTACATTAGGTGGGTGAGAGAGGTGTCAGCCTCTGATAGGATTTATGTTAGCTTTGAGCAGGGTGGGGAAGGGGGTGGGGCTAGTTCTGGGTGGGCCCTCCTGGGATTAGCTGTCGCTGCAGATTGGGAAATTCATGTGCTAATCAGAGCGGGAGGCTCCTGGGGTTTGAGGTGGCTGGCTAGTCTCTTTTTTGGGTAATCACAAAATAGCCACCTGGAAATTAATTCTCAATTCTCACAGGTATGGAAGCAGACTTTCGTTAGAGCTGGTCCATAGCTATAAGTTAGCTGGCTTATATAAAATGTTAGAGTGGTAAAAATCAGGTTTTTAAAAAATAAAGTGATTGAAGCTTTTGTTAGCTATAAAAAATTACTAGATTTATCTGTTCCTAGGAATTTATATTCTAGCCGCAGGGAATGGTGGTTGTAACCTTTTCATTTTACATATTTTAATTCCACAAATGGTTAAGAGCACAGCCTCTGGGTATCAGGCACCCTGGGGCCCTGGAGTAGGGTGGGTGGGTTTATTGCCCCTTCCCTCCTCATGGTCCAGCCTGGGGCAGCCCAAGGACGACTGGGAAACATGGAAGGGCCGTAGTTCTCCACTGAAATGCGCCACTGCTTTCACTCCAGTAAGCCTTGGGCCAGGGTGTGTGTGAGGTCCGAGCCTTTCAGCCCATGACCCGAGTCAAAGGGCACCGGCGGGTTTTCCCCAACTGCTGGTGGAGGTTAGGGAGGCCAAGGGAAGGGGTTCAAGGGGTCTGACCTTGGCCTCCCCCCCCCCCCCCCCGGAGGTTGCTGGGCTGCTCCACGTCTCTGAATTCCAAATGAGAGTAACAATAAAACTATTTGTTGCTGCCTCGCTCGCTCGTTTTGAATTGTCCTTGGAAAGGGCCAGAACCTGGGAGAGGGGATTGGGGCTCTCAAGGTTGCACTTGATCCAGACGGTGTTCTGCTTTAGGGTTTTCATTTGAGACCAGGACCCTGCTTTCCAATGGGCTTTAATTCAGGGTGAGAAGAGGCTGAAAGCCAGGAAACGGTTTGTTGAAGGATTGATGAATTCCGGATCTTTTCTGCTTTGATAGACTTCCATGAGGTGTGGGGGTAGCAGGACCGGTCTAAACGTATTGGTAATGCACTAATCATATTTTTTCCACCAAGACTCAAACCCCATTGAGGCATGGAAGCCTGTTAAGCTTCCTGTCCCCTCTGGCCCTCTGAGCCACTCCTGTTGCCAGTCCACAGGACTTGGGGGTTTTTGTTATGCATTGGGGTTATCTAGGGAAGAATTTGAGACACTGGAGACTACTTTTAAATTTAGGTTAGTTATTAAAATAATTTTGTTAGGAGGAAGTATTCCTTCATTGGTAGAGTTCAACTAAAAAATACCCAATCTATATTCCAGAAATGCCTCTTTCACAGTGAGAAGCAGCTCCCTTTAGGAGGTGCAACAAGTGGGCTGGAATTACCTGAAGAGGTCAGAGGGGGAGAGCCTGACGCCTCCCACGGGAGGCGGCCCTCAGCCCCAGACCCAGTCAGCCTGCTGGGAGAGGACTAAGGCACAGCCCCGGCTGTGAGGGTCATCTCCAACTACAGTGGGGCTTCCCTCTGTCCCCATGGTCTCCCTTTCTGAAGCTTCCTCAGGCTTCCTTGTCCACTCTCGGCCCTGTCCTTAGTGCCTTTCACCCCTCCAAGCACCTGGCCTTATACTGTACCCCAAAGTTAAAATCTCAACTTGCAGAAAAACATTGCTGCTGGTTTGTGTTTTTTTGTTCTTTCATTTAAGGATCCTCAACTAAAGAGGCTGAGCAGGCAAGGTTCCCCCATTCTAACTCCCATTTAGGGGCCCTTTGTAGGGACGTTCATGTGATCTTCCCCAGTTCCCCAGCATGCCAGCCCCATTTTACAGACAACTTGCCCAGGATCAATCACCATGCTTGTTCAAACCAGTTTAAACTCGATGTGTTTGGTCTCTAACCTTCCCACTACACCTACCTGGGGGCAAACCTGAAGACACAAGATGGAAGAGCATAGAGCCCATCCCTGCAAGATTCCACAAGCAGAAACTAGCTGCATTGTATTCCCTTGAAGAAAACTGACAGGCCTTGTGGTCCTTAGAGATGTCTATTAAAAAGCACTCCTGATCCAGGCCCTGGTTCTCCTGCACATGCAAGCATCTCGGAGACCCGGTAGTGTCAGAGGGCACCTTTCCACTTTTTGCCTAGGGGTTCTGGCTTCCAAGGAACGTGGAAGTGGGGCTGTAGGGGCAAGTGATGGGAACAGAGGTCAAGAAGTTACTGCCCTTGGGGCAAATGTCCAGTGTCCACAGTGTCCAAGGCAGCAGGAGTTCCTCTCTGAGGTCGACTGATTACTTGGGGACAGGCAGATGCTGGGGTGTCACTAGTCAGCCCTAAGTGAAGAAAATCCACGTGGAGGGTTGCGCATCGGCCAGAGCCCTTTCCCTTTCTGTACAGTAACTGTCTCACCTTTTCCTCCAACCCTGTGGACAGGTGTGCCCAGGTTGCTTGTTTGCTTGCGTGCGTGGGCGGGCGGCTCGCGGTTCTCCTTGGCCCCCTGGGCTGCAGTCCAGGAGAAACTGAAAACGCAGGCTGGTGGGAAAGGGGCCCTGCGCCTTGCTCTTTTGCCCTCAGGAGCCCGCCAACAGGAACCGGGCCACTGTAAGCTCCTAGGGGTGCGGGGGTCTACCGTGGGCTCTCAGCCTGGGATTCCCGCCCTCCCCACCCCCACCACCGCTTTCGCCCCAGCTTTGGCCCTTGGGCTCGGCGCGCAGAGCGCATGCGCGCGGTGTGAAGCCTGTACCTGGCCTCCTTCCGTTTGCCGCACGGGGGCGCCGCTCAGGGCGCGGGTATCCTCTCTAGCTCCAGGCGTCTCGGTGGCCGGCGTCTTCCCGGCGCTTGGAGTGGCGGGCGGGCCCTCTAGCCTCCGCATCTCGGTGGCCGGCGCTGACCCCGCCCGCGCGCTCGTTCCGGGGCTCTCGGAGGAAATGGCAGCGAGATCCTAGGAGCCTGAGGAGCGGAGGTGAGTGGCGTTCGCGTAGCGGGCGAAAGGATCTGGGCCGCCGAGGGGCCGTGCTCTGACGATGCGGGAGGGTGAC